CTGAAGCCCAGAGAACGCAAGCAACTTCCTCAAGGTCACACAGCATATAGGAGACACCAAACTCAGGGCACATTTTATTATACTCAGTCACACAGCACAGCCTTTCTTGATACCTTGTGATTCTAACATCTTAACAATGATTTAAAAACAAGCAACAACAACAAATCACAGAAAACTCAGAAACCTGTTATGTCCAAAATCCTTTTGAAGTAAAGTACCAAACAGTAGATTTTATTTCAAGTGAGACTGGATTCAAAGAAGAATTTTATGCAGCATAACATCTATGATGGAATCCAAGAAAATATATCGATGGTACAATAGAGCAATGACCACAAAGATAAGGTAACATTTGAGAGAATCAAAGAGCCGAAGAAGAGCTTTAACGTTTGGAGGAGGATGCAGTGGAGGCTTCAGAAGGAGTTAGGGGTGGCGGCGGGTAGATACCATCAGAGCACATTGTTATACATGTGTGAAATTCTCCAAGAATACATAAAAATATTCTTAAAAAATACAAGCTTTGGGAGCTATAAAAAGTGACTCAGCAATTAAGAGCACTGGCTGCTCTTCCAGAGGATCCAGGGTTCAGTTCCCAGCATCTACATGTCAGTTCACGACCATCCATCACTCTGGTTTCAGGGGATCTGACATCCTCTTCTGGCCTCCACAGGTACCAGGCATAAACACATAAAATGTTAAAAAAAAAATTAATGTAAGCTTTGCATGATAGATAGTGTGTGTGTGTTTATTTATTATTTAATTTGAGAAAATGTTCCACTATGTAGCTCTGGACCTAGAATCCATTATGTAGACCAGGCTGGTCTCAAACTCAGCTGCCGCTGCCTCCCAAGTTCTAGGATTAAAGGTGTGTGTCCCCATTCCTGATGTATGTGTGTTTTAAATTTTCAGAAAGTGTCTCCTGAGATAGAAAGGTTTTGCTACGTAGCCCAGGCTGCCCTTGAACTCAGTATCCTCCTGCCTCCACTTCTTGAGTGCTGGGATTACAGAGTGCACCATTATATCAGCTGTCAAGTCGTATAAACTTTACAGGGAAGTTTTAAATGACATGCCCTCCCTGCCAGGGACCCAGACGGAGTCACCAAGAGCCAGCGGCTGCATAGCCCATCTGATTGTAAGTATGTAATAAAGCATAAGAAAGTGTTCTTTGCCTTTGCAAGCAGACACCCAGCTTTACTCCCAGTTTTCTTCAGCACCAATTCATCTACAGCTGATTCCTTAGAGGCCCCTGGTGGCATGGTTGGTGGCTTCCCATCTTCCCTCTCACGGATAACACTGCAGAGGCAGCCTTGTGTACATATTTGCACACTTGATCATTTCTGGGCCAGAGTCTGAAACACCGTTGCTCGGTCCGGAAGTAGCTTCACCTCTTGGTGAAGACGGAGGCTCAGCTTCAAACCCGATGCAAAGTCACCAGCAGGGGGCGCCGTCGTTCCTCAGCACCCTCCCTTGGTTGTTTACATAAAAACCACCCCAGGCCTGGAGACAACAGGGCTTAGTGGTTAGGAGCGCTTGCTGCTCTCCCAGAGGACCTGAGCTCGGTTCCCAGCACCCATGTCAGGCAGCTCACAACTGAATGTAACTCCAGCTCCAGGGTCCAATTCTCTCTTCTGGCCTCTGTTGGCACCCACACATATGTGGCATGAACACACACACACACACACACACACACACACACACACACACACACACAATTAAATATTTTTAAACACCTTGTTTTATTTCCATGTTTCCATTATTAATGGAGCTGATCTGTTTCCATATCCTTCAAAGTTCTTCATACTTGACCTTTTCCAAACTTAATTCATTTGCATCATTTCCCTAATTTGATGCTAGATGCTCTCTTGCTCTTGTGGATGTATCAACATATCACACCAAAAAAAGTTAACATATTTTATACTTTATACCCCGAGTATCTCTAAAAGAAAAGTTCAAAGCATTTCCTTCAAGCTTTAATTTCAACAATTAAGAATTATTGTAATTTTTATTTATGGGTGTATGTGCACATTGGAGCAGTACCTTCGAAGGCCAAAAGAGGGCATTAGATCCCCTAGGCTGAGGTTACCGGCAACTGTGAGTCGTCCAATTGAACACAGATCTTCAAAAGAGCAACAAGCGTTCTTAACTGCTGAGCCATCCCTCCAGCTACAATTTTTAACAACTTAATCAGACAAAAGTAGATTGATTTTACTTGTTCAAGTATGTTTATCTTTCTTGTATAACTTCTCGCCCAGAGTTCACATCTGGCTTTCCTTGGTTAGGTCCCTTCGATCTTTAACTTGTGGGAGTATTTTTCTGCTTGGGATGAGGTAAGAGTCTAGCCTATGCATTTTTCTCTGTGCTGGTTGATACTCTGCCTCAAATTTCTCAGCTGCTCTGAGAACACTGACATGCTAAAGACCCTTCCCCTGAGCCCGAGGTCCGGGAAGCACTCATGAGAGGCTTCGAAGGCAGGGTGAGCCGTCCCCCTCTCCCTGCCCTGTGGCTCCTGAACAATGCCACTGGTGAGGGAACCAGAAAACATGCGGCTTCACGGTACCTGGGAAGGGAGGAGGTAACCTTGACATGTAAGTCACAATTCCAGTTCATGGCTCTGGGCTCCGTGGTCCAGATTCCTGAACATGAGAGGCCCTGGCAAGGTTTCTCATTTACTTTCAAGCATCAGTGACAATGTGTGGAGCCATTGGATTGGCCGATGGTCAGTCCACCTAGCACCGTCATACCAATTAAGGATGACTAAGCCCCGTAAAGATGACCTTCTGCACAAGATGCCCACATTAACATCTGCTTCCTGCATAAGTTCCCAGCTGATACGCTCTTTGACCTCAATGATTATTTTTTTCTAGATTTCTTTTTATTTTCTTATGTGCATTGGTGTTTTGCCTACATGTATGTGTGAGGGTGTTAGATCCCCTGGAACTAGAGTTACAGACAGTTGTGAACTGCCATGTGGGTGCTGGAAATTGAACCTGGGTCCTCTGGAAGAGCAGTCAGTGCCCTTAACCACTGAGTCCCTCAATACTTATTTTTTAAAGATTTAGTTTTTTTTTTAATTTATGTGTGTGTGTGAGTCTGCATACATGTATGTGCACCATGTGCATGCAGTAGCCTACAGAGACCAGAAGAGGGCATCAGACACCCTGGAGTGGGTGTTACAGGAAGTTGTGACTGCCTTGTGCATGCTAAGAACCAAACACAGGCCCTGTGCAAGAGCAGTGGACTATTCTAACCACTGAGCCATCTTTACAGCTCCTGATTTCAAAAATTATATTTATCATTATTATTAATTATCAAAAATTATATTTATCAATATATATATATATATTAATCTACTTCTAGACTATTCTGTTTCATCAATCTTCCTTTCCTTTCTACTCTGTGGGAGGAGGGGGGCAGGTTTAGGGACTTGAACTCCAGACTCAGCACATGTTTAGAAAATATCTACTACTGAGCTATATCACCAGCTCATTCTACAACATTGTGTTGTTTTAATTCATTTAAATATCTGAGAGCTGATGAGAAGCCACTCATTGGCATTTGCATGCAATTATTCTCTCTAGAACAGTGGTTCTTTTTATCCAGAAATATGCTTAATTTCTTCATTTAGGGCTCTATTGTTATGTCACTATTCAATGCTTAATCATCTCTTTAAAGTTTTTTTTTAATTATTACTGTGTGCATGACATATGTAGGCATGTGTGACATGGCGCACGTGTGACATAGCCCACACGTGGAGGTCACAGGCCAACTTTGGTCAGTCGGTTTCCTTCCATCTTTAAGTGGGTTCCTCGGATCAAACTTGGGTTTGAGCAGAATCAAGTTGCCAAGCTTGTGCCTCAAGCACCTCCCTCTGTGGCACCGTCTCTCTGGCCCTCTTGAAGGCCCCCTTTAATCATTTATTTGCATAGATCAGTTTTACTTTTCCATTTGGTGTAGCATTCATTATAATAGTTTTTGTTTTACAAACAACGCATTTCCCTGATGATATCCAAACGTTCAAGCCTATCTTAAACTATAATAAAAGCTACCATTTATTAAACACCGCCTGGGGAGTGGAGGAGAGAGCTCAAAGTTTAAAAACGCTTGCTGCTTTTGCCGAGGGTCTGAGTTCGGTTCCCAGCATGCGTGCACATCAGGTGACTCACAGAAACCTGTGACTACAGGTCCAATGTCCCTGCAGGCACCAGAATACATGTGACATAGTCTCAGACACAACAGATACACGCAAATAAAATAAAAAGTTTAGAAACACTACCTAGGCACCAGAGGTAGTATTTACGCTCCTTACTTCTTCAAACACAGACAAAATTCTGAAGGTCGCAAAACGCCATTCTGCTGACGGATGGACGTGATGGGGCCCGAGACACCGTGGTTGTGGCCACCGGCAGCGTCCGCCAGCCTGCCTGTCACAGTGACTGCCCAGCTCACAGCGTCACACACATGTTTAGCGCAGACAGGAACACGGGCACCACCTACAGCTTCTTAGGACCCTGTTTAGCCTGAACTATCGGCACCTTTTCCTCAGAGCAAATCTGGAGAGATCTCTTGATATCTTCAGATCCTGGGAGTAGACACAGATTTAATGAATAAACTTGGAGGTGGGTGTTGGACAAGTCAAGCTACCATGACTCCCATTCCTGACGTCCTCACCAAAGCCCTTTTAGGGATGGGATGGCTGAGATCCCAAACGTGGAGAAGAGGAAACTGGATAAGGAAGGGTCTCGGCGGTTTGTCACGGTCAAGTAACAGTAATCATAGGACGCATGCCTTAACTATTCCCCTACGAACACCTTTCTGACGTCAGAAAACTTCTGCTTTGAAACACCAGCATTTGGTTCAGCTCCACAATTGAGCTCTGCTATTGTGAGTTTCAGCGCCCAGCATGCGTTAGGAGAAATGAGCACAGGAATCCTGTCATCTTTGTGATGTTCCTTTTTATTTATTTATTTATTTATTTATTTATTTATTTATTTATTTATTTTTCCCATCTCATTGCATTGGCTGCAGTCTTCAAAGTGTCATCAGGTAATTGATAGTTTCGTGTTTGTCTTCCAACTTCAGTATGAAGGGCCTTCCTGTGTCCCTGTTACATCTTTACGGAGGGGGGAGGACAGGGATAGCCAGGCTAGAGACCTGACTCAGCAGTCAGGAGTGCTTACCGCTCTTATAAAGGGCTTCAGCTTGGTAGGTTCCCGGCACTCACAGATGTCTCACAACACCCTGTAACTCCAGCTCCTGGGGTGGCTCCAATGCTCTCTTCAGGCCTCCAAGGGCACAAATCCCTCCCAAACACACACACTCATACACATACATTTTAAAAGCTAAAATAGTTTTTTTTTTTTTTTTTTAAAAAAAGAATACTCCATGAAAATAAATGCATGAATCAGAGTCTCCATTTCCTGTAACAATAAAGGTATACTTACTGTCTGGACACAGTCAAACAACTTTGGTTTTCCTGCAAGTGCCCAGCCATGGGAACCAGTTCCAAACCAGAAGGATGGATCTTGGAAGAGCACAGACGAGCTCTTGGTCCCCGCTGTCCCCACTAGGACACTGTTTGCTAACGTGCTTCTGACACAGAACACATTGGATAAGTCTGGAGAGGTGCCAGCAATGAAATGGAAACTGGGGTAGCACATTCTAATACTGCTTCAGGTGAACACACACACACACACACACACACACACACACACACACACACACGGGAACAGAGGAAATTAAAAAAAAAAAAATCTTCAGATTGCCAATAGTAGAAGTAGATGATTTTCACTAACAAGAAAGTCGCCTTGTTTTCCAGTCTGTGCTATCCAGACCTTCCTTTGCCGCATTAAAATGTGTACAAAATCACATCTTACTACTGCCCAGCCAAGTTATCACAGCCTGAACAAAAGCCCTTCCCCAACACCCTCCTATGTGTGATTACAAAACACACATCTGTTCCGTTCTACCTCTTTTCCTTTAATGTATATGGGGGGGCATGCATGCGCACAAGAGTGTGCAGGTACAAGTGTGGGTATGCTCACGTGGGGGCATCTTCCCCAGCTGTCCTCCACCTGGTTTTTGAGACAGTCCCTCTCAGAACGTGGAGAACATGGAGACCAGCTAGGCTGGCTGGTCAGTGGGTTCACGGTTCCTCTTGTGTCTGCCCCCCCCCCCCATGCCGGGCCACAGCACTAGCAGGCTCACCTTATGACAGCAGAGTTCAGCAGCCCTGACAAGAAGGTGAGCAGGGTTACTGGATGTGTAGGTTTTTGGAGGTCAGGAAGGAGTTCCCCAACATTGCCAGCGGCTCCCCGAACCACCTCTCTCTGCTGTTCTTAGTGAAGGGCTCCTTATCAGAAAACGGAGTTTCAAGAACAGAGCTGAGTTGGACATCTGTGTTTTCAGGAAGAGTGAAAGAAGTCGGTGGGGCCTGGGTTTCCCAGAAATGGGAGCTGGAGTCATAGGGGTCTCCAGGGAGGGCTGGTCCCAGAACTGCAAGGAGGATGGGAAAGAGGGGGAGGGGAAGGGAAGACCCAGAGAAGGGGAGGATGGGAAAGAGGGAGGGGGAGGGGAGACATAGCGGAAGGAAAACACTGGGACCAGGGGATTTGGTGCCCTGATGACCAGACCTTCCCAAGACACAGGCCTCACTGCCAAACACTGGGAGGTATTCTGTCATCCCTCACAATCTGCCTTGTGATGCTCTGTGGTCCCTAAGGAAAACAGACACCCAGTCTCTTGCCCTGGTGCAAGTTTTCAGGTGATAGGAAGTGCCCTGTCTGCTTTGGGATCTATAAAATCCAGCTTGCTGCAACAGGAAAGCCCAGATGAAGCAAGGTAGCTAAAGTCAGACTTGCTGGCAGCGGTTCCAGATGTTAAGGCTCCAAGATGGCCACACCAGAGGGCAGGCATCAAGGCCCGGGATTGCTGAACCTCAGGGGTTCCAGGAGAGTTCTGGAACTCCACACAACCCAAGTGTCCTGGCTAGTTTTGTGTCATCTTGACACAAGCTAAAACCATCTGAAAGAAGGGAACCTCAATTGAGAAAATACCTCCATAAGATCTGGCTGGAGGGCATTTTCTTAATTAGTGATTGATGGGGAGGTCCATGTGGTCTCAGCTTTGGCCAACTCACTTGTATTTGTTACTTTTCCTGTTACCATGACAAAATGCCTGGCAATAAGCAATTTAAAGGGAAACAAAAAAACCTTTCTTTTGACTTAGTTTTAGAGAATACAGTTCACCATGGCGGAGAGGCATGGTGGCAGGAGCCTGAGGCCGCGGTCATAGCTGCTCTGTACTCCGGAAGCAGAGAGAGTGAAAAGGAAGTTGGCCTGAGCTATAAAACCTCACGTCCCACACACAGCAGCCCACTTCCTCCAGCGCGGCTCCCCTTCCTAAAGGTTCCACAGCTTTCCAAAACACTGCCACTAGCTGGAGACTCGTGTTCAAATCCATGAGCCTATGGGAACAGGCACATTCAGATGCAACATTACTGGAACCCTGGGCCACACCTCCCTGTCTCCAGCTCAGATGCTTCCTACAGGGCTTCCCTGGGAAGGATGCAGGGGCTCCACCCTAGCAGCGCACAACTCCCAGAGCTGAGCCTGCTTCCTCTTCTAGACACCCATTGCCTCTTTGTGGAGTGGCAAGGGGTGGGAGTCCTCAATATATGGGATTCCCTGAAAGGGTGTGAGCTTGTTCTTGCTGCCTGGGCCGTTCCTTACTGCTCCTGTACAGACAGAGAGCTGAAGCACAGACACAGTGTGCGAGCTTTTCAGATGAGTAAACTGAGGCTTTAGGATCTCACGTCACACGGAGTCCCAGCTAAGTCCCTACAGTATTTTTTTATTTATTCTCTGGTGCTGGAGATGGAACCCAGGGCCTAATGTGTTCTAGGCAAGCACTCTATCACTAAGCCCCAACCTCAGAGTCACTGAACTGATTCTTACTGTGCACAGGACATTCGTCACGAAAAGCTCAGTTGGGAGCCACTGAGATGGTTCAGTGGGTAGAGGAGCTTGCCGCTAAGACTGGTGACCTGAGTTCAAACTCCATCACTCACAGTGGAAGAAACAGGTCGGCTTCCACACGCTGTCCTGGAACCTCTATGTGGATGTTATAGCACACACACACACACACACACACACACACACACACACACACACACACACACACACACTGCTTTAAAATAAAATAAAGCTCAGTCGATAACGTGCTTATCTTATCTAGCTCGTGTGTGGCCCTGGGTTTTCCATATCACGGCATAAGCCAGGCGACAGGGCACACACCTATAATCCCAGCATGTGGGAAGTGGAAGCAGGGAGACCAGAAGTTCAAGGCCAGCACAGACTACATGCCACATCAGACCCTGTCTCAAAACAAGTAAACAAAACAGCAAATGTAACTCATGTGCCCCTGCTGTAAAATGTGCCCCCAAAGCTTCTGTCTTTCCCATCTGACTTGTCAGTCCATTCAGGTTCTTCTGGTCTCTGGGGACAGGATCTGTCCTGCCTCTTCTTCACCCTCAAGGTTCCCAACAAGTTCTCTGTGAGCCTCACAGTCTCCCTTTAGCCCCCAGGGCTTGGCAAGCCTTCCCATGGTCCTCCACTGTGGCTCCTGTCCATGATCTCTTACCCACTTACAAAACTTCAGACAAAGCCTTCAAGAAGTGCTTCTGCTCCGTGCCATGGGCCGGAGGCTCTTTCTTTCCTCGGACAACTGGAACATAGCCTGGGCTTTTGAGCGACCATTATCACACTGTAAGAGTGATCTGGGTTTGCTTTTAATCCATCATCCCTCCCCATTGCCCCAAGAGTCTCCATGGGCCAGAGTGTGTCCAATGAAAGAAAGAACGTGGTCTTTGTCTACCGGAGGTATTAGGAATGCCTGACACCTAGCAGGTGCTCGATAAATGGAATAATTAGTGACCTAACACCCTTATTTCTTTCTGGGATGTTGCTTTGTAGTTATGGACACTCACTTGTTCAGTGGAATTGAAGAAGGACTTGGCACTGTAAGGAAATTCACTGTTCATGTCTAGCTAGTCTGCACACACACACACACACACACACACACACACACACACACACACACACACACTTGGTATATGCGTGTGTATACATGTCATGGCTGATGATGTAGTTTCCCTGATGAAGACTGGGTGTTGCTTGTGTATCTGTTTGTTTTTAAACAAGATCTCTAACTCAAGCTGGCCTAGAACTCCCTGTCCAGCAAAGGATGACCTTGAATTCTAGATCCTCCTGCCCCTCTCTCCCGAGTGCTGGAGTTACCGGGGAGAGAGAGCCACCACAACAGTTCATTCCCGGGCTGGGGATCAGATCAAGGCCTCCTGCATCGTAGGCAATCATTCTTCCAACTAAGCTGCACCCCCAGCCCCAGACTGAGCTTTGCTGGAGCTAAGGGTAGGAACCCCTAACACATGCCAGTCTGTGTTTCAAATCCTTACCTAAGCAAGGGCGACCTCAGTGATTCTATTCTCAAAACATGTTAGGATCAATATTATTATCATAAATGACCACCAAAAAGGGAAACTGAGGACTGAGGCAGAGGCAATGGAGGAATGTATCCTGCCCCAACCACAGTGCTGGTGAGTCGAGGCAGGGGAGGTGGGATGGAGGCAGGGGCTTCCATCTCCGCAGCCACCACTGGGCACTGTTGCCTGCATCCTTTAGTGGTGGACAGAGAGCCTGATTTTCTATCATTTTGACAGTGCACAGCCTGGCACGATGTCCTTGAGTGTGTGTGACGGTAGCCTTGTCTGCAGCTGAACCCTGAGTGGGTGACTACAGTATGTGTGATCGTCCCAGCTGAACCCTGAGTGTGTGACTATAGCATGTGTGACAGTCTGCAGCTAATGTCCCTGAATATGTGTGACTGTGGCATGTGTGATGATCTGCAGCTGATACCCCCAAGCATGTGTGACTGTGGCATGTGTGATGATCTGCAGCTGATACCCCCAAGCATGTGTGACTGTGGCATGTGCGATTGACTGAGCAACAGCAGCTGAACCCCAAGCACTTCTGCAGAGTTGCCCGCCCGGAGCCTCTGAAACTGGAAACTTCTCAGAAGACCAGAAGTGTGGTCAAGCACCCGGCTTCCTGGCTTCTAAGAGCCTTTACCAGAGTACTCGCCTTCAGCACTCCCTGAACCAAACTACAGGAGACAGCTTTGACTCCGAGTCCGCTGGTGTGCAGCAGTGGAACAGAGGCAGCGTGAAGGTGTGAACCGAGGAGGCTCCCACCTGGAGCAGCTTCTCCCAAAGCCGGTGTCTTCATTCTCCCTGCTGTACATTGGCAGGGGCTGGAGCAGAGGATCCTTCCTGCTGCGGTGTCTGTTTATACTCCTGTAGCGCCAGATGACAGAACAGACCCTCAGTGACATGCAGGGATCCCCTAGGTGAGACTGGAGTACAGAACATTCTGGAACCCGGGCCTCCGCTTGGCAGCCATATCTCTTTCCAGTAAAGCACTCTGGGCAGGACTTCACAGAAACGTTTAGATAAGCTTTACACCTTCTTGGTCTGAGCTGTATCGCAGAGTGGATGTGTCATCTCTTATTCTTAGTAAGATGATTTCTGCTAGAACACGTTTCACAATTGTGGATTTCATATCCTTGAAACACAGCTAGCTCTGCCCTGGTTGTCCACCGCTGCCACAGACTTGCTCCATCGACAATGTTTTGCAATGGACAGCATCAGCTGCTTCCAAAGTCCTGACCATTTCAATGGAGCCCCGACTCGCTCATCCTCTGGGGTCTCTCTCCCTTCCCCCGGCACCATCAACCCCATCCACAGTTTAATCTGAACGGGCAGAGAAGCTCTCCGTGACTGACATGTGTACCATGTGTGGCTGAATTTGAAAACATGCTTCCGTTTTTTGCAATACCGTGCTTACAACATTCCCTGAGTCATTTGGAAAGCCTTTGAAATGCGTTCGAACCCCCAGCTGCTCTCCTCTGGGGAGAGCCTGTAGCCAGCATAGAGATCTTTCTATTTGAGCTTGAACGGAGCTATTCCACCTTCTGGCTGCCCATGCTTTAAAGCTGTCCCTTCTCTAGGGACTGTTATTTGACGCTCTTCTATTACTCAATTTCCTCCCCCAAAACAAAACCGGTGTTTGGAGAATCAGGCCAGGCATATTTGGTGTTAAGTCTAGATGATGGAAACACACAGCGGGAGTCTGGCAGGGTGAGGGGGATGGGTGGGAGGAGGTAGGGAGAGGCTGGGGGACAGCAGGACTCTCTAAGCTTCATACTCAGGCATGGAGAGAGTCCATGTTTGGTGGGACAAAGGAATCCAAAAGTCAAAGCAGAAATACTCTCCTAAACCATGTGCTGGTGGGAGGCATACCCGCCCTCACTGTAAAGCCTTAACTGAAAGCAAAACAAGCAAATGACAATCTACAGATAGATCTCTAGGAACTATGGGAACTTGTGCTTTGCAAAGTTAAAAGTAACAAGATAAAGCTGGAGAGGGGGCACGCCAGTTAAGAGCCCTGACTGCTCTTCCAGAGGACCTGGGGTTCAGTTATCAGACGCTCATGACAGCTCACAACCATCTCCAATCCCAGGGGATTGGATGCCT